GTTCCCCTTTCTCCACATCCTCTCCAGCATAAACTGTCATTTGTGTTTTTTATTTTAGCCATTCTGACAGGAGTAAGATGGTATCTCAGAGTTGTTTTGATTTGCATTTCCCTGATGGCTAAGCATATTGAGCCCTTTGTGTCTTTCAGCCATTTTAGATTTCTCTACTGAGAATTGTCTATTTAGTTCTGTACCCCACTTTTTAATTGGATTGTTTGGTGTTTTGGAGACTAGCTTCTTGAGTTCTTTGTATATTTTAGAGACCAGCCCTCTGTCAGATGTGGGGTTGGTGAGTATCTTTTCCCAGTCTGTAGGCTGTCATTTTGTCTTGCTGACTGTGTCCTTTGCCTTACAGAAGCTTCTCAGTTTCAGGAGGTCTCATTTATTGTTGATCTCAGTGTCTGTGCTACTGGTGTTATGTTCAGGATGTAAAGGACTTTTAAGCAATGAAAGTGCCTAGAGACACCACCCTTTGTGCTGTGTGTGGAGCATCAGCTGGCTTCATCCACTTCTGCTGCAGAGAATGTAGTCTTTTTGTTTGTTTTTGTTTTTTTTCGAGACAGGGTTTCTCTGTGACTTTGGAGGCTGTCCTGGAACTAGCTCTTGTAGACCAGGCTGGTCTCAAACTCACAGAGATCCACCTGCCTCTACCTCTGCCACCAGAGAATGTAGTGTTAATGTCCAATAGCACAATGGAACAAACATTCAAACTGGTACACGAGAAGTATTTAGAAAGTATTAGCTTTTTTTGTGTTGCAGCCCAAATACCAGTTTTTCTATGGTTAGCAATCTGTGTTTCCTATGTTGGAAATCCAATTCACAATAAAGCCTCAACACAGGAACGTTAAGTCAGATTCCTGAGTCTGACAAAAGATCAACTAAAAAAAAAAATGCACATATGAAACTAAAAAAAAAATGCACATATGAAAAATGCATCTGAACACAGATTCATGAGAACTCCTGTTCTGGGATTGGAAGTTTATTTCACAGCATCTATGTCAGGTAGCTCACAACTTCAGGGAATCTGATGGCCTTCTGCCTCTGCAGGCTCTGCAAAACAAACAGAAAACCCTCCTGTTCTGATTGGACATGGTTACACAATCCCATTAGTTGAGCAGACTGAGGCAAGAAGAGCACAAGAAGAGCCTAACTGTGCCAGCACCAAAAAAAAAAAAAAAAAAAAAAAAAAAAAAAAAGGAAAGGAATAAAAAAACAAGCTTCCTACTCTGTGCTAATATATTATGATTTAATAAAGATTGCTTGGGCCGGGCGTTGGTGATGCACGCCTTTAAACCCAGCACTCGGGAGGCAGAGGCAGGCGGATCTCTGTGAGTTCGAGGCCAGCCTGGTCTACAGAGCAAGTGCCAGGATAGGCTCCAAAGATACACAGAGAAACCCTGTCTCGAACCCCCCCCCCAAAAAAAAAGATTGCCTGAAATATCCAAATGCAAAACTAGCCACACTAGTTAGCTATGGAAGCTAGGCAGTGGTAGCACACACCTTTAATCCTAGGATTCAGGATGGGTCTCTGAGTTCAAAGCTACCCAAGGCTACACGAGAGTGAATCAATCTAAAAGATTAACAAAGCTGGCTCCTTTAATCCCAGTCATAGAAAGGTATATAAAAGACAGGAGCCCAGTGTTGCAGGCTGCATTCTGAGATTCAGCCTCTAGCCACGTTGAGGAGAGGCAGCAGTCTGAGACTTGGAGGAGAGCTTGTGGAGAAAGGATTGACCCTTTCAGTCTAAGGAAGAGGTAAGAGCTAGTGGCTGACTGCTTTGCTTATCTGACACTCAGCTTGAACACCAACATCAGACTCTGGGGTTTTTATTATTCCTGCTACACCACTCTTAGTTTTGTTTTGGACCAGAGCAAAGGCAATTTATTAAGAACTCCATTAGGAACTTACATTACTCGTATCTATCCTATTTCCAAAAGGGGTAGTAAATAGTTCACAGAATTTGATTATGAGACATGACAAAATCAGCTAAAATGAAAACAAAGATAGGAAATAAGATGAAGCAAAAGATGAAGGAAATATATAGGAACATAATATTTTTCAACTCAAGATATGATCAAGGCATAATAAGAGTTTTAAAAGTTTAAGAGTTTTAAAAAAATAGTAAGTCTTCATGTCTTTTCTATGCTGTGTTGCTTTACCTGCAAACATTTCTCTTTATCTTTGCTTCATTTTTCCACGTTCATATAACCAGCTTGCCTAGTTTAAGCCATAAATGAGATGTTGATGTTCTAGATTTGCTTTATCTTTGATTATGTGTGTGTCTTCATGTGGCTTTATGCACAGGTGAGTACATGTGCCTTTACAGTCTAGAAGAAAACATAGGATTCCCTGGACGTGGGGTTACAGGTCCTTGTGACAGACCTGAGTGCTGGGAATCAAACCTGGAACTCCTGAAATAGCAAGGGCTTTCAACTGCTGAGCCATCTCTCCAGCCCCTGCACCTAATTTTTTCAAGTTTCAAGTTGGAGCATAAAACCTGGTTTAACTTCAAGCTCCTAAATTAGCATTAACAGAATTATGTGCTTTTTTATAATATGTGATATACTCACATTTTCTGATTTTTTTCAATTGATTAATATTTCTCGCTTTATCTTTAAATTATGTGCTTGAATGTTATGGAAGAATTTAATGCTAAGTCATTATGACTTTAATATTCATGATATCAATCTTTTGCATTCTAGGAAGGAAAATTGTAATTAAAAGAAGATTTCTGTGTCATGAAAACTGGAATTGTTGGTACTGTGCTGTTTATTACATGTAGTGCATATTTCATAGAAGCTGTTATTGTTTTTTAATAAATTTTATATTTTAATATTTTAAAGAAAGTTTTCTAAAATATAATTATATTTTTAAGTGAAAATTAATTTATTATTTTTGGTGAAAATTGCTGGTTTCCTTGTCTTTTTGTCTTTTACATAAAGATAGGCTAAAATACCTAATAAGTAAATTCAGCATTTGCATTTTTAGTCATGCTACTCTATTGTCTCCTATTTGTAATATTTACTTTTTAAATTAATAATATGAATTATTCTATGATAAGTTCTTAAGACTTGTTGGGTGTTCCATGTTTATCAGGAACTTTATATTTAATCATCAAAACAGCCCTATGAAGTAGATATGTTCTTTTTTCTGTTGCTGTTTTAAGTAGAATTATTTAACATGGTAGAATTATATGTTCTAAAGAAAGTCATTGTAAGTATTAAGAGGTGGTTTTGGGTTACTGACTCCATTTATACATGGTTAGCACTAAGAATTAAACATTGAAGCCCTTAATATGTTATTAGTCACAATGTGGGTGCTGGGAGGCAAACCCAGACTCTCTGGAAGAGGAGCCAGTGCTTTAGCCATGGAGCTATCTCTCCAGCTGTCATTAGTATATCAGTAGTACATTCTGAATAACACCAAGTCAGAGTCTAGAACCAAAAAGTATATTTGAAAGTTTAAAACACCCAATATGAGAGAAACAAAAGTAATAACTGGCAGTGACAGAAAGATTAGTTGACTAAAGACAACTGAATAACAAGAAAAAAATGATAGGATAAATATGAATAGAACACACAGAATATGTGGAGAGCATTAAGGTTAAGAAGAGAAAGGGGATAGAAAAAGTATTTATAGTTATAGCTGAAAATACCTCAAGTTTAGTGAAGATAAATTAGAACCTGTAGACCTAAATTCAGTAAAGCCTAAGTAGGATGCACACTCTCTCTCTCTCCTACTAAGTCATTTAGTAGTGAAATCTCAAAAACCAAGAATATAAGGCATATCTTAAAACAGGTTTTAAAAAGTCTTATGTAGGAAGATAGCAATCCAAAAGGAGGCTGATTTCTAATTATTCATTATAAACAATTTGACTGTTTTTCCTTTGACAGAGACTGACCATGTATTATTATGTAGCCCTTGCTGGCCTGGGACTTCAGACCCAGGTTGAATTTGAACTCACAGAAACTCACCTGCCCTTGCCTATGGAGTGCTAGGATTAAAGGCATGTGCCACCATGCCAGGCAATTTGACATATTTTAAATATAAAAACACTAATATGATGACAGTAAATAGAATTTATATTTTTAAAAATCCTATCAAACAGTAGGCATAAGAAAACTTAAGAGTTATGTTAATATTAGACAAAGTGGGCATCAAAATGAAGATATTATCTTAAATGTATATACCTCAAATGCCAGACTTCACACTTAACAGAATTGAAAGGGAGTAGGGAAGAAGGGAGGATCCATACCCATAGTAGGAAAATCTAACCTCTACTTTTTAGTAATTGAAAGAATAAAAGACCAAAAATAAAAGTAAATACATAGGAGATTTTAACAGCAACTTGTCTTTAACATTTAGAGAATACTACTTCTAACTGGATAATGAATGCTTGGGTGCAACAGGGGATTGTAACCATGTGTTGGGCCATAATTTAAATCATAATAAAAATTTAAAAGTTGACACCATTTTACGAAGTGTTTTCTGAATACAAAGTAACTAAAGTACACACTAGTAATAACATGTCTATAAAATCTTCAATTATTAAACAGTTCTGCTATGTATGTGTACTCTCCTCACACACAGGAAGAAATCTTGTATTTGCAATTGATTGCTAATAAAGATACAACAGCTAAATTTGTGAAATGGAGCTCAAATTGTAGTTGTCTACTACTACAAAAATAAATTTATAGCTGTAATGCTTTTACTAGGTTTTTAAAAATTTATAACCAGTGATCTAAGTTTCTACTTTTTTTTTTTTTTTTTTTTTTTTTTTTTTTTCGGAGACGGGTTTTCTTTGTGAAACCCCCCCTGCCTCTGCTTTCTCGAACTCTCAGAGAGATCCCGCCTGCCTCTACCTCCTGAGTGCTGGGATCCAAGGTGTGCGCCACCACCACCTGGCAGTTTCTACTTTTTAAAAAATTTATTGAACTTTGTTTTATGTGCACTGGTGTGAAAGTATCAGATCCCCTAACTGGAGTTATAGGCAGTTGTAAGTTTCCATGTCATTGCTGGGAACTGAACCAGAATCCCCTGGAAGAGCAGCCAATACTCTTAACCTCTGAGCCATCTCTCCAGCCCCCTAAGTTTCTACCTTAAGAAACTAGCAAATCAAGGCAAATTAAATCTAAAACCAACTCAAGGAAAGGGCAAATGAAGAAATAATCGAAGTTAGTAATAAAGAAAATTAATAGCTAAAAGTCAATTCACTAAATATATCAATAAAATGGATAAGACACTAGCAAGGCTAATCAAGAAATAGATAATACAAATGACCGATATTAAGATGGAAGATATATCAGTATGGATCCTCTCAACATTAATTTATGGAATATTAGGCACACGTTTTACGCCATTAATTTGGCATATTAGATGAAATGGAATTGGAAATCATCTAGCTGTTAGGTTTTTATATGTAAAATAAATTATAATTAGAATAAAGAATTTCTATAAAGAATTCTTCAGGCCCAGGTAATTTTGCTATATTAATAAAGGCTAGAAAACATGTAAAGAAGAAACTATTTTAAAGAAACTTTTCAAAAACTAAAGGAGGAAAAAACCTACAATTTCTTTTAGGGGTCAATATAGTCATCAGCTGGTATCAAATGGGAACATTACATGAAAAGAAGAGATCCATATGAATATAGACACAGGGCTCCACACTAAATCCCTGAGACCAAATTTGGCCTGTCTCTGATTTGCAAATAAAATGTGTTTATATTGAAATATTGTCTGTGGCTGGTTTTGTACCATATAGTTTATTAAATAGTGGGGGTAAAGATGGTATTGACAATGTTTAAACTGCTTTTAAAATTATAAATTTACAAAATTAATAGGACCAAAAATAGAGTCCTTGACTATATATATGGGGCCTCTGGCAGTGGAACCAGTATTTATCCCTAGTGCATGGACTTTGGAAGCCCATTCCCTATGGAGGATACTTTCTCAACCTAGATACACAGGGGAGGGCCTAGGCCCTGCCCCAAATGATGTGACAGACTTTACTGATCCCACATAGGCTGCCTCACCCTCCCTGGAGAATGGATGTGGGGGTGGCATGGAAGGTTCATGGGGGGCATGGGAGGATGGGATGGGGAGGGAACTGGGATTGACATGTAAAATAAGATTTTTTTTTAATTTTAAGAAAAAAGATTTTATATCCATATTTATATGTATAACTAATACCTATTCATATATGAGTACCACATATATATGTATATATTTTATATATTTACATATTTATGGGGGGTGTTTAACACAGACTCAAACTATTGCCTACGCTGCCATGGGACTCACTATACAACTCACCAGGCTGGCCTTGAACTCATGACAGGCGTTCTATTTCAGCCCACAAGTAGTGAGATTATAGACATACGCCACTACACTTGGCTATTTGATTTTCTTTGAGATTTTATTTCTTTATTTTATGAGTATGAGTGTTTGCCTGAATGTCTGTCTGTACCTCATGCACGCGATGCTGGTGGAGTCCAGAATCCGGCAGATGCCCTGGGACTAGAGGTGCAGATGACTGTGACCTGCCACATGGGTACTGGGGAATTGAACCCGGGTGTTCTGGAAGAGCAGCCACTCAACTCATCTCTCAGCCACTTGATTCTCTTTTTCCTTTCCCTCCCTTCTTCCCTTCTCTCCCTTTCCTCTCTCCCTCCCTTCCTCTCTGTGTGGTACAGGGAACCAAATCCAGAGCCTTATACATGCTAATCAAGGAACATACGTACCATTGACCTATATCCCTAGCCCAATTTAATTGATTATTACAAGGTACCAAAGTCATTCAGTATTGAAAGTCTTTAACAAATAATGATGGTACTAGTGCAAAACAAACAAAGCAGTATTGACAGCATATTATATATAGAAACTAGGTTGAGGGCTGGGAGATGGCTTAGAAGTATGAGAACTTAACTATAAATCCCCAACTGTTGTAAGCTCAGCATATCTATGGGGCGGTAGTTGGCATAAACGAGAAAATTCTCAGAAGTTCACCAGCTAGCCTAATATATGTAGCAGAAAACCAACACCAACAGCTACACCCAAGATTGTTCTCAGACTACCATGCACTTGTTGTGGTACATATGTGCCTGCACTCACTTACATATCACACACATATACACATCACACACATCCACACCCATGCACACTACATCAAAATGGATTATGGACATTAATACAAACATTAAAACCATAAAGCTAGAAGAGAAGTAGAATAACTTCATAACCTTGTGTTAGGTAAATTTCTTAGGGCCCAGAAAGCACCAATTATGGAAGAAAAACTTAATGAACTGTACTTCATCAAAATTCATAACTGCTCATCATTTCTCACCATTGAGAAAAAGAAAAGGCAAATGGCAAAATGAATGCCATCAGTATACATAACATAGAAGTGACGTAACAAGATTAAGAATTCTCTATATAACTCAATAAAAGACGGACACCCAAAGTTAAAATAGGCATAAACATGTGAACAGATATATACTTTCTATTTTTAGGCTAAGATTAGTTGAATTGTTAGAAATTGGTGGTACAATTTTGTGTTAGGCCATTTCACTGAATTTTACCTAGTTTTGGTGTATAAGACAGTTTTATCTTTTAGGCCAAAATGCAGATTTTCTTTCTTAGCCTGGAAGGAATCCACAGGTTTCCATCCTCTGTAGAAACAAAAGCAGAACCTCTTTTCCAAAGCAACAAACCCTAGAGCTAGCCAGTAAGAAACCTAAGTAAGACATTGGTCAAACAATTATAGATACTAAGTTTCTGAATGTTTTTTTTATAAACTGTTGCAGGGACCCACTGGGCAGAGAAGTCTGTATCTACAGACCAGACAGTCCAAGTGATAAGCCACCATTTCTGACTCCTACTAGTTTGTTCTGCCAACAGTATTTCTCTGTGACATCTCTCCCTATGACTTCACTTACAGTAGACCTTTAATTGTGAAAAGTCTTTACTGACATATTTGTACTTCTTTTCCATCCTTAAAGGTCTTTGTGCACATTCAAAGTTTAAAATAATTTCAGACCTGGGATTTAGCCAGGCAGTGGTGCCCGCCTTTAATCCCAGCACTCCGGGGGCAGAGGCAGGCAGATCTCTTTAGTTTGAGACCAAAGTGGTCACACAGAGTGAGTTTCATGACAGCCAAGTCTACACAGAAACCCTGTCTCAACAAAACAAGCAAACCAACCAACTGGAGTTGAAGGTCTAAACGACAGTGGCTTCGTACTCACCTCTCTAGAGATGGCTTCCATGTTCCCACTCTTTTTGTTTGTTTGTTTTTTGTTTTGGTTTGGTTTGGTTTGGTTTTTTGAGACAGGGTTTCTCTGTATAGCTTTGGAGACTATCCTGTATCCTGGCACTCTCTCTGGAGACCAGGCTGGTCTTGAACTCACAGAGATCCACCTGCCTCTGCCTCCCAAGTGCTGGGATTAAAGGTGTGCCCCACCAATGCCCGGCTCCATGTTCCCACTCTTACTTTAGATTATATTTCTTCATCTAAAGCTCCCTCTCCTCATAGCTACCATTTTTCTCATTTAGTTATGCCTCATTCTCTGATCTTGCTTTGAATTTAATACACAGATTAACCCTGTAAACTCTGATCTCAAATGCTGATTTCTTCCTCCCCACCTTTTACTTATACTACCACAGAATCTGTAGTATTTTGTGTGTGTGTGTGTGTGTGTGGTTGTTTTGTTTTGTTTTGTTTTTCGAGACAGGGTTTCTCTGTGGCTTTGGAGGCTGTCCTGGGACTAGCTCTTGTAGACCAGGCTGGTCTTGAACTCACAGACATCTGGCTGCCTCTGCCTCCGCCTCCGGCGTGTGGGGATTAAAAGAGTGCACCACCAACGACTGGTTGATTCTGTAGTAATGAACCATTACTGGAATAACAATTTAGCAGTGCTCTGTTGATCTACACCACACAACTCTAAAAAGCATAAATGTTATTTGAAAAAGAAAATTTTTTTTCAGAAACAAAATTTGGATGTGACAACTCTGGTGATAATTTTTGGTAGGTAGCTTTTTCAGACTGATAAACTAAGGCCCAAATAAATGTAGACAATATAATAAATCTTTTAAACAAATAGTAAACTAACACTTTATAAAGATGATATATCTGAACCAAGTTTCACTTACTTTGAAGAAAAAAATTTACACTTTATATCAAATATTAAACTGCTCATCAGGAATCTACCCTTCCTCCCTCAGCATCCAGGGGGAGCAGAAAGGATATGTGATAGGTAGGGATTTAGTTGGGGGGGGGTTGGTAGGGGAGGACGGGAGGGAGATGGGAACTGGGATTGTCCTGTAAAACAATCTTGTTTCTAATTCAAATAAAAAAAAATTACATATCCTTCCTGGAAAGCATTTTGGAGACAATGTTGAATGAAAACATTACTCACGGCTGGTTGGTGTTCAAGCTATATCTAATAGTGTGGGTAGAAGAAGGTGGTTGACAGTGATAAGTCTCCTGGAAACCAAATACCTTAAGAAAATACTGTAAACATCCCACTTGCCAATCTATCAACAAAGAATAAGATGACCTAAATTGCACCCATGGATTTTAAGGGGCTTAGCCCTTTTAAAAATTACAACGTTCCACTTTTCATTAATATGACAGTTTTTCATTTTATGGTTTTTCGAGACAATGTTTCTCTGTGTGACAGCCCTGGCTCTCCTGGAATTTTGTAGACCAGGCTGGCCTTGAACTCACAGAGATCCGCCTGCTGCTGCCTCCCAAGTGCTGGGTTTAAAGGCGTGTGTCACTATGCCCGGCTGGAGTTTTATTATATTTATTATAATATCTATATCTATATATTTAGTAACACAATCTTTTTTTAAGTAATGTAATTTCTGTGATGAATCTGGCACTAGTTATTAATAACCACCCTGGAAGGAAACAAATATCGGAGTTGCTTGAGATAATCCAATTTTGTTTTTCTCTTCCTTCCAAAAGTCGGCCAAACATTTTTCAGCACATTGGGTCTGACTATCGGTTTCTAGACTAGGCAGAGCCACTTGTTTGAAGGTTTCATTTTTCCCATAAACGAGGACAGGGAGCTCTAACCTGGCCGCGGTTAGCTAGTACAGAAGCCTTTCCTGCAGCCACACACGGGGCCTCGCTCCCCAGGTCGCATCCAGAGCCCACGCTAGCCTCCCTTCTCTCGGCGCCCTCATCCTGACAGCTAAGGAAGTAGGAAAAGGAAGTTCTTCGTAACGGCCGGGGCTGCTCCGCCACGTGGCCTCCGCCGAGGAGCGAGCTCCCCTAGGGCCCACCTGAGGAAACGCCGGCCGGGACAGACCGCGGGGCGTGCGCAGCG